CTAAGAGAATATTGTCAACATAAATTAGTCCTTGATTCTCTTACAGAATTTTCCTGGGGGCATTTCTGGTTAGCAGATCACACTGAATCCCTTATGTGAAATCCTTCAGGGCAGTGATTCTAAGGTACTATTCTTGACGGAAATGTGTTAGGTTTAGGTTCGTTTGGGTGGAAAAGGGGTTGAAAACCACTGGTCTAGTGGCACCTGGGTGGCTCAGTCGGTTAAACATCTGACTCTTGATTTTGACTCAGGTCATAATCTCCTGGTTTGTGAGTTTGGGCTTTGCGCTGACAGTGCAGATTGGGACTCTCTCTCTCCCCTCTCTCTGCCCCTCCCCCACTCACTCTAACTCCGTCTGTCTCTCTCAATTATAATAATAAACAAATCCAACACTGGTCTAATGGACTAGGTATGTTAAAAACAAAAGTATCTCTGGATATCCCTACCAGTTTTCCTCGGTTAACATCTAATGACTTTAGAAAGTATCACGAAGAACAATTAGTATGGTATTCAACGGTACTCAGCCCATGGGTAACAGTGAGATAGTTCACTATTCCAGACACTTGTCTGATCTATAAAGTATTTTAAAAAATTGATGCACCACTATAACATTCAATAAAACACACAGATCTTAGGTTTTCCATTCAGTGAATTAACTTTGAATACACTCCTGTACCCATCATGCAAATCATGTTACAGAGCATTTCCATCACTACCAGATTCCTCGTCTATTTTCATTCCTCCATCGTTTTAGGTCTGTTCTTACGTTGAATCATAAAGTATGTATTCTTTTCTAACTTCTTTCATTTAATGATGTTTTTGAGATTAAGTTATATGCATTAGCCCATTTCTAATGCTGAGTAGTTTTCCATTTTATGAATACACCAGTTATACCTTCTGTTTTGGGCTATTAAGGCTCTTATCAACAGTTATGTATACTCATGTTTTTGTGAACATATATATTTTTTTAATGTTTATTTTTGAGAGAGAGGGAGAGAGAGACAGAGGGGGAGCAGGGTAGAGGCAGAGAGGGAGGGAGACACAGAATTCGAAGTAGGCTCCAGGCCGAGAGGTCAGCACAGTGCCTGACACAGGGCTCAAACCCACAAACTGTGTGATCACGACCTGAGCCAAAGTCGGATGCTGAACCAAGCTACCTGGGCGCCCCGGCATATTTTTTCTTGCATAAATGCTCAGGAATGGTTTTGCTGAATTGTATGGCAAGTGAATGTTTAACTTTACTAGGAAACTGATGAATAGTTCTCCAAAGAGGTTGTTCATTTTATACTTCCAGCAGCAACACAGGAGTGTTCTGGTGGCTTCACATTCTTGGCATTTGTGGATGTTTTTTTTTTTTTCCCCATTCTAGTGTATGTGAAATGGTGTATCATGGTGGTTTTAATTTGTACTTCCCAGAGGACCTAAGATGTTGCGTAAATTTTGAATTTTAAATCCAACTTGTCCTTTTTTTTTCGTTTAGTACTTTGTGTCCAAGAAATCTCAAAAATTTTTTTCCTACATACTTTTGTTTTTGGGTTCTACATTTAAATCCATGATTTTGTGTGTGTATGTGTGTGTCTGAGTAGAGAATAAGAGTCAAGGCTTTTTATTTCGTACATTCAATTGTTTCACCAATATTGTTATACTTTCCTTTTCCCACTGAATTAACTTGCCATCTTGGTTAAAATTTGTGTACGTCTGTTTCTGGACTCTTGACTGATTCTAATACCACAGTCTTGATTACTTAAACTTCATGTAAGTTTTTTGTTAGTTTAGTAATCTCTACACCCAGTGTGGGGCTTGAACTCACACCTGCAAGTTCAGGAGTCATAGCTCTTTCAACTGAGCCAGCCAGATGCCTCCTTTAAATTTTGATAGCAGATAAACATGTCTTCCAACTTAAGGTTGTTTGGCTCTTGTAAGGTCTTCGCACTTCTACGTAATTTTTAATATATTAAACCGGTCTTTTTTTTTTTTAAGTCTAATGGAATTTTGATAGGGATTGCGAAGTATAAATCAATTTATGGAGAATAGACCCCTTAACCGAAAACTGTTTTCCAATTCACGAACATGATGTCTCTCAAGTCCAAGTTTTCATCTTCTCAGCAAAGTTTTGCTCTTTACTGCAGAGGTCTCATAGATCTATACATTTGTTCCTAGGTATTTGATGTTTTTTTCTACTAGAATGTTACTGTTTTTAAACTTTAAGTTTCTAATCAGATCACCAGCATGCCCCAGGCCTTGATTTTTCTAAGATCTTGCTAAATTCACTTATCAGTTCTGGCTGGTTCTTTTTCTTGCAGAGTAAGATTTTCTGTGTAAACAGCCATATCATTTGTGAATGACTATTCTAAGCTCTTGTGTTCCAATCTTTATGACTTTTTCTTGACTGATTGTATGGCTCTGACTTACAGAACAGTGTTGAACAGAAATGGTGAGAGCAGACATCCTTGGTTTGCTTAGTATTTCACCATGAAGTATGATGTTAAGTGTAGATGTTCTTTTGCAGATGCTCTTTGTAAGACTGAGGAATTTAACTCCTAGGGTTTGTATTGTGAGAGGATGTTGAATTTTGTCCAGTGCATTTTCTATAATCATTGATAGGATATTTTCCTCTGTTCACAGGTAAATCATATTGATTGACTTTCTAATGTTAAATAGACCTTGCTCTCCTGGAATAAAACCTATTTGGTCAAGATGTATTATCCTTTTAATACATTGCTAGGTTCAATCTGCTAATGTTTGAAGGACTTTTATTCTTGTGTTCATGAGGGATATTGGTCTGTTAAATATTTTGTCACAGGCCTAAGAAATGCAAAAATCAATTGTTTTGAGGTGTTTTTAGTGTCCATTTTTGGGTTCCTAAGAGTCAATATAAGTTTTTCTTACAGAATAAGAAAGATGACTTTTTAAAATTTCATATTCTTTATATGAACGAAAAGCTGAAAAAAATCCAGGGAGAGAATTGAGATGTGAGATGAATTGTTAACAGGAAGAAGAGAAAAAATCTGCACTGGGGATTAAGGAAGTTTCACAAATGTTTTTGATTATCCTCCATTATAATATATGACGGATAAAAATCTTGAGGTTCAAACTCCAAGTATAATGAAGCCTACTATAATGAAATTTAGTTAAATTGGGAATTTAAAGCAATTTGTAGTTTTGAAAGAAGTTCTAATATTTCCCATTCCACAAAAAGAAAAATCTCTCTAACCAAATTAAAAATGTAAACATGTCCAACACAGCTTTAATTAAAAATGCAGGGGCACCTGGGTGGCACAGTTGGTTAAATGTCCGATTCTTGATCTCAGCTCATGAATTTGAGCCCCACGTTGGGTTCTGTGCTGATGGTGGGGAGCCTTGTGGGATTGTCTCTCTTCTCTGCCCCTCCCCTGCTTGTGCTCTCTTTCTCAAATAAACTTAAAAAATTAAAAAAAATACAAAAGTCAGGGAAATTTCCAAATGTACACTTTATTAAAACTAAAATTTCATATGCAATAAAGATCTGCCTTTTGTGTTAACACACACATGTACGTTTGTGTAAGAGAAAAAGTCTGAAATGGTAACATTAAAATGAAAACAGTTACCTCTGGGACAGTAATTGGTGCAGGAATGCTAAATGCTTTCTAGAAGAGACCCTATTCTTATATAATTTGTGTAACTAAAAGAGCATTCAAACTGTTCATACTAGTGAATCACAAATAGAAATAACACATCAATCTGTTAAAATATACACAGCTTCAGGGACACCTGGGTGGCTCGGTCGGTTAAGCATCTGAACTTGATTTTGGCTCAGGTCATGATCTCATGGTTTCGTGAGTTCGAGCCCCACGTCGGGCTGTGTATGCTGACCATGCAAAGCCTGCTAGCATTCTATCTCCCTCTCTCTCTGCCCCTCTCCTGCTCATGCTCTGTCTCTCTCAAAATAAATAAATGTTAAAAAAAAAAATACACGGCTTCAAAACTAGAGGTGAAAATGTCAGAAGCCACATGCTGAAGTCCTATAATATAGTATTTTTTTCCTGATATTCTTTGGGGCAATAATTTACAAAATATATATTCAGGGTCACCCTGGAGTTATTTAATGAACAGATTTAAGAAAAAATTATTAGTAAACTCATTTTGAGAAATTTTCAGTCTCTTTTCAATTACACAAATATTTTATCGGAAAGTTTATTACATGTTCTGAATATTCAAAATACGTGTATCCTAAGCCTATCACCAATGACAAAAACCCTAACAGAAGAGAAATCTAAGTACCTAACAAGTAATGTTAGCACACTAAAAACATCATACATTAAGAGAAAAAATGACAATATGGAAAACAGTAACATAGGATAGACAAAACATTGGTATCTTTAAAACAAAGTTCTTACAAAGCCATTAACATGAGTGGATTTCAAAAAGAATTACAAATGGCCAAAAAAGTACTAACAGCCAAAAGAATAATTAAAATTTTTTATATCTACTGAATTTGTACTGAGTTAAAAAAAAACAACAAAAAACCTATGGCGGGGGGTGGTTTGCTGGCTTATTACACTTGTTTTGGCCCAATACATTGGTACAGATTTCTGAAGGACAATCTGACAATCAATAGTTATCAAAAGCCTTAAAATATCTTAATCAGTTAACCCTTAGCAAATGATTCATTCCAATTAAGATTTCCATTTTAATTTTTTGTGAATAGAGACGGGATGAAGAGAAGTAACAGATGTTGCTATGGTCAGTTCAGAAGACTCACCAAAGCCAAAGCAGCAAGGTTTCCCCAACTCTTCTCTTACAGTGGAAAAGAGGTCCAAAGAATCAAAGGGAAGTATGTTAACTCTTACTGCTCCTGTGGGCTTACTTCCTGCGAACACCACAGAGGGGCAGCCTTTCGCGATACCAGAAGGTAAAATAAGGCGAAGGAATGGAGGGAATCCTGCGGGCACCGCTGCCCCGAGCAAATGAGCCATGAGTGATTATATTAAAATCTCACGTTAGTACTTCCCACAGTTTGCTCAAACTTCTTTAATTACTGATTTAAGATGGTCTAGGTGACATTCTTCTATGAAGGATTCTGCTTGATTCAAAGCTTTTATTTTCACCAGAATAAGAATTATTTCTTTGACTTCATCCCTGGGAAACAAAAAAAGGAAAATGAAGTGCATGAGACAGGGAACCATTAATTGTTAATCTGAAAAAAAGTTTAAGCCAGTATCTCATATTCCAGACTTTACCTTTTCCAAATAAGCATTCCACTAGAGACTCTTATTAGATGTGTATGCTGGCAAATTTTAATGTGAATGGCTGTAAAAAAGTTAAAGCTATCATCAGAAAGCTGAGTTGCAGCATGGGGGCTATCAGCTTGTATGGGCTATTATGGTGGGAGTCTCAGTGGGAATGTTTACCCACAGAAATGCTACAAATCTAGGTTTTTTTTATTAAAAAGAATTTTTTTTAAAACGTTTATTTATTTTTTGAGAGACAGAGACTGAGAACGAGCAGGGGAGGAACAGAGAGTGAAGGAGACACAGAATCCAAAGCAGGCTCCAGGCTCTGAGCGGTCAGCACAGAGCCTGAAGCGGGGCTCGAACCCACAAACCGCGAGATCATGACCCGAACCGCAGTTGCTTAACTGACTGAGCCGCCCAGACGCCCCTTGGTTTTTTATTTTCAAAAATGCTTTAGTTTGATTTTGGAGAAGTGCTTAATCAGAACGCAACTGTACTTAAACCCCTAAACATCTAGTGAGGTGAATGAGACACCCAAAACAGATCTAGCTACTCCTGGGTAAACATCAGGCTGCAGACCTGCACTTAACAATTACTGAGGTTTTAAAATGGCTAGGAAAATGAAAAATACTTTGAAAACATGCTATAAGAGGTTTTTGATTTATAGTTTCCCAAATCCCCTGTGCAATAGTTTTCTGGAAATGCTTACTTTGGAAAAGATTTACATTTAAAAATACGAACTACTGGGGCGCCTGGGTGGCTCAGTCAGTTAGGCGTCTGACTCTTGATTTTGGCTCAGGTCATGATCCCAGGAACTGTGAGATCGAGCCCCGTGTCAGGCTGTGTTGCACTGACAGTGCAGAGGCTGCTTGGGATTCTCTCCTTTTCCTCTTTCTCTGCCCTTCTCTGCTCAAAATAAATATGTAAATGTTAAAAAAGACATGAACTATTATGCGTGAGGTGTGAGTATAAAATAGTGATTCCTAAGATTGCACATGAAAATATCTACTAATTCTACAGTGATAGTCTCTAAGGACTTATTATTTATTGATTTAAAGATTTTGTTTTTAAGTTATTTCTATGTGGGGTTTGAACTTGCAACCCCAAGATCAAGAGTTGCATCTCCAGCCGAGCCAGCCAGGGGCCCCTCCACAGAGTTTTTCCAGATGTAGAGTGAAAGTACAAATTTTCCTAAAAATTGCTGAGTGTAAAAAAGAAACCTTGAACTATGCTTATGGACATACAAATGTGCACAATTACCTGAATTCACTTCTGGATAATTTCTGTGCAGACTGCAACAAGAACTGAATGAAGTTTTCTAGCTGGGGAATAGACGTTCTCATGGCAGAGCTTTGGAACCATTTTGCTGGTAAATATGCTGCTATCTGTTAATCAAAATACACAGTCATTTTTTAGTAACAACAGTTATCTAAGGCCTTTTGCTAACATCAATCATCTCATTTAATCCTTATAGTGATCATGCAGGTTGTAGATTTTCCCATTTTATGGCTTATGGTTGATTATATTTTGAGAAGTTTTCTCGGTCAAGGGTTATACTTTCAAAAAAATCCTATATTTTAATGCTAAGAGCTTTAAATAGGCTATTCTTTATGACTAATCATTAGTGGTATTTGTGGTACAGAATAAATTTAGTGGTACAGAATAAAAGAATTATGGCTCTGATCTTCTAATTTAATACACTGCTTTAAAAGTTCATGGCAGCATAAAGAGTCAATTACATTCAATTTTTCTTTTTTGGGGAAAATACCACTTTACCATTATGCTATAGGTAATGCATGATTGGGGGAAAGTTTGGTAAAAACAGAAAAATGTTTAAGTAAAAAAGGAAAATTTCCTCAGAGCAGAAGACTAGAAGGAAAGAGAGAATGAGAGAAAGAAAAAACCTGAGATCATATACAAAGAAACTCTTTGACAAACAGGTTATGCTATAGTTGGTAATATCAAGATCAGTACTTACAAATGTAAAGTTGGGGGGGGAATATATACCCTGTACACATTACAAAATGTTAAGTGGAAGTTCTGGAATGTATGCTTTTCAAAACACAGTTGAGGCAAAGATTTAGCCTATTCTTTAATCACCTTTTTCAATTATCCAGAAAAATGGGGAAACATGGACTGCCGAGGGGTAGAAATATTTAGGTCTTTTCCAAGGTTTAAATACTAGCCCTTACTGGACTGAAATTTAAAGTTATTTGCACACGCTTTTCACTTGTTTGTATCACCAATCTCAATAAGATTTCCACAGAACTCCTTCACTTTTCCATAAATGATCCCAGGACTTAAAGCCACACTGTCTTAGCATGGTTATCTAGCCACAAGCTGTGGAGAGAATGTCCTGTGTCGTCTTCTCTACTTCTGATAGTAGACTCTTCTGGTCAAAGAGGACTAAACTGAACGTGAAATACAGAGCATGGGCATTGAATTCAATTTTGGGGAGATAATGTAGTTTAAAACTATGTGATATAAAAACCATAGCCCAAGAAATCAGAGTGGGGTAGGAATTGCTATCCAATGTTTTATGTTGTTTTAAAGTTTGTATTATAAACATTTTTCCATATTCTGAAATTCTTAAAAATGACTTATCTGATGAACAATGTTTTTGGATATCTAAGTTGTTTCTGACTATTATAAGTAATACTACAATAATATTCTTTGTACTTAAATTCCAGTAGAAACAGCTCTTTACAACAGCAAGCCCAAGACTTCACTGTAGTTTCAAGTCAGCCCAGGAATGCCACTTCTTAACCTTCAATCCTGAAATTTCTGGAGAGGCACTAATGAGGTTGTCATCATGATTAAAAAGGTGGCCTTCTCCTCCCCAGTACAAGACAAACTCCTGGCCTGAAACAATCCTTTTCTTTTGCTAATAGCTTTTTTGCTCCACCCTCTTTCTTATGAAAATCTTCCTTTCTTATGAAATCTTCCATTTTGTACAACTCCTGAGAGATGTCTCTGCTTGCTATGTGGAATGCTGCCCAATTCATTAGATCTCAAATTTACTCCGCTGAATTTTCTGTTTTAACAAATTTTTATGTGCATCTTGGATTTTTAACTTAGGATAAATTCCTTGAGGTAAAATTACTAAGTCAAAGGTAAGAACTTTAAAGATTTTGTAGCCATCATGCCAGAAGTCTCCAGAGTTCTATCCCCTATTGCAGCAGCGGACTGTTTCTCAGAACCTCTGCACCACACGTTGGAGGTGCCCCTGACATGATGTGACTGTGGTTTCCTCATGCTTTTGACAATACAAGCAATTAGGAAATAACAGCAAAAAAAACAAAGCAAAACAAAACCCAGCCAGCATAACAGGTAAAATAATATCCTCACTGTATTATTTTGCATTTCTCTGATTATTAGTATTCTTAATCTTTTCTATGTGTTTAGGAATTATTAGAAATTATTTTTATATATTCTTTTTTGGGTGAATTTCCTGTTACATGTCTTTTGGACATTTTTAATTGGAATACCTGAATTATTCCTAATTTTAAAGATCTTTTTAAAAATGTAGATATTAATCCTTGTTATGGTTTACAACTTTTATCAGTTTTTCAGCTCCCTTTCTTTTAAACTTTTCATTGTAGAAAATTTCAAACAGGAGAAGGAATAGGTATGGTAACCCCAACGAACCTATCCTCCAGTTTTAACAATAATCAAATAAATAATCCTGATATTTAATGCTTTTTGATTCACTGAAGTTTTACACATTCATCATCAAATCACTTACATTTTTTCGCTCATTTCTTCTTTTAAGTTCAAAAGGATTCCCTTACCATCAGCTATATTTATCTTCTTGGTACAATATTTTATAGTTTCATTTTTATACTTTATTTCATCTGAAATTTATATTGGTATTTACTGAGAAGTGAGGATTTAATACTATTTTAGTTGGTTTACCACTACGTACTACTTTTTCTTCTCCCTGCTGGTGATAATTCAAACCAGTATACTAATTCTTACTGAGGTGTTGGTTGCTTTTGGGTTTCTAGTCTATTTAAATTGATTTGTTATTATGTGAGTACCACAATTTTAATTATTCTGTTACAAAATAGATTTTAAACTTTAAAGGAAAAAAGTAATCTCTACACCTAAAATGGGACTTGACCTCATGACCCTGAGATCGAGAGTCACATGTTCTACTGACTGAGCTGGCCAGGTACCTCACAAAACAGATTTTAAGAGTCCATTCCTACATACTTACCTGGCTGCACTTTTTAACAACATCTGGCCCAGGACTGGCAGTAAGAAGAGCTGTCATAAGGTAGCGATTCAGCAGCTTCCCGAGTCCTAGTTCTTGCAACGTGTCATCTGGGAGGAGTCCATTCCAAAGAAGAATATTGCGGAAAAGCTAAAGTACAGTATCAGGTGAGTATGTGTAGCTGTTTCTCTAAAGAAAAACCGTAATAGTTTCCAGCAAACATAAAACACTGGTCAAATTCTTTTAAACTCTCCTTATTAGTACTGGTAGAAGTGTCAGTTTTATTTATTTTTTAAAGTTTATTTATTTTGAGAGAGAGTGAGAGTGAGTGATCATGAACAAGCAAGCAGGGGAGAGGCAGAGAGAGAATCCCAAGCAGACTCCCATGTTGTCAGTGCAGAGCCCAACATGGGGCTTGATCTCAGGAACTGTGCGATGGTGACCTAAGCCAAAATCAAGAGTCAGATGCCTGACTGAGCCACCCAGGCACCCGAGACGTGTCAATTTTAGAAACAGCAGAAAAGATTTTTTATCAATTGCCTAATTCTTTCCAAACTCTATATATTTGCTCATCCTATCTCAATTTTTAGGACTATCACCCCAAATCCATCTCAGATAAGTTCACTGGAGCCTTCCTTTCCAGATCAAAAATTTTCCTCCTCAATTTACATGCCCAGAACCTGGGGCCATGGGGAAGACCACAGGACTCCAGGAAGGATTCATAAAGGACTACTGTTAAGCCAGTGGTACTGGGGCACTTGAGTGGTTCAGTCAGCTAAGCTTGTAACTCTTGGTTTTGGCTCAGGTCATGATCTCACACTTGGTGAGTTCAAGCCTTGCATCAGGTTCTTTGGCACTGGGCTCTCTGCTGTCAGCACACAGCCCGCTTTGGGTCCTCTGTCTCCCTCTGTCTTACCCCTCCCCCACTCACTCTCTCAAACATAAACACTTAAAAAAAGAAAAAGAATGAAAAAGACAACTCCTCAAAAAAACAAAGACAGTGCCACTGTTACCAATGGATGATCCTGATATACCATCAAAGCTGACAATCTTATTGCTCTGATATATAAGATTAATAATCTGTGAGTCTGGAGATAAATTGGGTAAAACACTCATAAGAAATTCTAACAAAATTAACACTGGTTGCCTTTTTTCCTCCAAATCCATCTCTTTCAGTACATTTTATGGTGTTTTCCATTTTCTTTCCACACTTTGTGCTATATTTACTGCAGTGTCTTTCCACACTTTGTGTCATTGTTGATGCTGCTCCCTCTTCCTGGGAAGTCTTTTCCCTGACTCAACCATGTGGTAAATAATGGATTCACCCTATTAAAATCTAGACTTGCTGAGGTCACTTACAACCTTCCAATTGTCAAACCCAGTAAACATTTTCAGTCTTTCTCCCAATTCTCCTCGGTGGCATTTAATACCCTGCCTTCATTCTTAAAAACCCCTTGATTAGTTCTCATGATGCCACCCTCTTGTGACCACTCTAAGCTTCACAATAAATTCTAAGGTTTCTTTTAAGACTTCATTTCTCTGCCTGCCTCTTACGTCAGTGTTTCCCAATGTTCTGAGCCTTCTTCTCGTACTTCACCTCATGAACCTCTCCTCAGAGGCTGTCATTTCTGACCATGGCTCCAAACACTGCCTAGATGTGGCTGACTCCCAAATTTCCAGCTCAGATCTGTCCCCTGCAATTCAGACACCTGTATCTATTCCTGTATTTGTCTCATGGGTATCTTCAATTCACTATATCTGAAACAGACCTTTATCTTTCTCCAAACCTATTCCTACTGTATCCCCTCCAATGCCCTCAAAGAATGTCATTATAAGTTACCAAGTTGCCAAAGTCAGAAACTTGGCTGGCACCCTAGTCTTCATATGTAATTAATTAGTCATTAAATACTTTCAGTGCTTCATCCTAAGTATCTTCTGAACCCAACTTCTTACCATCCCTCCCTATTACCACTAACTTAGCCATGGCTTCATCCTTTATCTTATTTTTCTAAATGTTTATTTATGTTGAGAGAGAGAAAGCAAGAATGCGCCTGAGCAGGGGCGGAGCAGAGACAGAATCCCAAGCAGGCTCTGTGCTGTCATTGCAGAGCCTGACGTGGGGCTCGAACTCACAAACTGTGAGATCATGATGTGAGCCGAAATCAAAAGTCAGATGCTTAACTGACTGAGCCAACCAGGTGCTCGCCTTCCTTTATCTTTTAGACCAGGATAGGACAATGAGGGATTATGGGTTAAATCTAGCTGACTGCCTGGTTTTGTAGAGCCGATAAACTAAAAATGGTTTTCATATTTTGAAATGATTAAAAAAAAAAGTAAAAGGGTAACGTGAAGATTATGATGTTGAGATTTCAGTGCCCAGAAGTGAAGTTTTACTGAAATACAGCCATGCTCATTTGTTTACAAATTGTTTATAACTGTTTTTGCACTACAAAGGCAGAGCTAAATGGTTCAACAGAGAATGTATAGCATTCAAAGCCTAAAATATTTACTATCTGGTCCTTTACAGAAGTTTGATGATCTCTGCTCTATAGTACTCTGGATTTAAAAATTTTAAAAATTTATTTTTGTAGTTTTTGCTTACCTTTACACTCGACCAGAACTGTCTTTCTTGGAACTTTGAATGTGGTGAAGTTTTGTTTTCTATAGTGCTAATTTGAAACAGAGAAAGAACAAAATGCAAACTGTTAACCTTCCAGAACCAGAGTTTAAAAAAACTCAGTTTTTTTTTTTAACCAAACTAAGCCTTAACACATTAACAGAATGTACATGGAATGCTCTGATGACATCGAAATTACAAGTACACTTTGATCCAACAACCCTATTTCTGAGAATGCCTTCTATACGTATACAGAATGGTAGGTCTATAAAATTATTCCTAGCATTGTTTCTAATGGTTTATCACTCACATGCCCACCAGTTACAGTACGTTATATGAAGGTATATTATGCAGCTTAAAGAATTAAGAAACTACTCTTGTGATGACGTGAAATGACGTCAAAGATGTACTAAGTCAAAAAAAAGTAAGGTACAAGACAATGGTTACAACTGTACTCCTTTCCTATAGAAAAGGGGGGGAAATAAAGACTCCACCAAAACTACTAGAACTGATAAATGCATTCTGTAGTCACAAGATACAAAATTAATATAGAGAAATTTGTTGCATTTCTGTACACTAATGATGAAGTAGCAGAAAGAGAAATTAAGAAAACAGTCCCATTTATAACTGTACCAAAAAGAATAAAATAGCTACGAATAAACTTAACCGAGGAGGTCAAAGACCTATACTCTGCAAATTATAAACTATGGATTAAAGAAAGAAACTGAAGACGACAAAAACACACGGAAAGTTAATTCCATGCTCAGGGACTGGAAGATCCAATACTGTTAAAATGTCTGTATTACCCAAAACAATCTATATAGATTTAATACAATCTCCATCAAAATACCAATGGCATTTTTCACAGAACTAGAACAAATAATACTAAAATTTGTATGCAACCACAGAAACTCCACAAAAAGTCAAAGCAACCGTGAGGAAGAAGAACAAAGCTGGAGGTATCACAATTCCAGATTTCAAGATATATTACAAAGCTGTAGTAGTCAACAGTATGGTACTGGCACAAAAACAGATACATAGATCAATGGAACAAAATACAGAGCCAGAATTAAACCCAAGCTCATATGGTCAATTGATGTACAATCAAAAGGGCAAGATATACAAAGTGAAAAAGACAGTCTCTTCAACAAATGCTGCTGGGAAACTGGACAGCAACATGCAAAACAATGAAACTGGACCACTTTCTTACAACACACACAAAAATAAACTTACACCACACATACACAAAAATGGATAAAAGACCTAAATGTGAGACCTAAAACCACAAAAATCCTAGAAGAGAGCATAGGCAATAATTTTTTGACATCGACCTTAGCAACATTTTTCTAGATCCGTCTTCTCAGGCAAGGAAAACTAAAAACCAAAAATACCCTACTTGTTTCATAAAGTAAATCCACAATTCACAGGTACTTTCTGGCTTTCTGTGCCAGGCACTGTTCTGAGCGCTCTCTTTATCTTCACAAGTCCTGTAAAGTAGGCATGAATTTACATACAAAGATACTGATGCACACAAAGGCCCAAAGTCAAATATCTAGTAATGCTAACTCTGGGCTCCCAGAATCTGTGGACTTAGCTACGCTGTGATGCTACCTGTCATGTTCTTAACATAAAAAAACCTATGTCCAGGTGTCAGGCATCATACATGGCATACAAAATGTGACTAATATTTTTTTGAAATCTCAACTTGCATCTTAATATGTGTATTTATATTTGAGAACACTTAATATAGTTCCTTTTGCATTACTTTCTTAAATCTGTATTACATGATTAGCTATTTCATATAATCTAGATATTAACAGCTCTTACCTCTTTGGATATAGAGGAATAAAAACATCATCTTCTATTGCCTTCTTCACTCTCAAAACAATGGATTTAAGTAAGTCCTATTATATAAAAATTTAAAAGCATCAGTGATAGTCATAGGTCTATTTACCAAAAGAAGTAATTTTAACAGTATGGTACAAATATCAATTAGGTACAAGAGAACTTTATTCACCATGTTGGTGCATTTTCATTGCTGTATAGTATATTCTGTTGCATGAATACTAATAATGGGACATTTAGGTGGTTGTGAGTTTGGGGGCTATTATACACAATACTGCATAAAAGTTCTTGTACGTGTCTTTTTACATAGGTATAAATTTCTAATGGAATTTAGTTTATGTCTCTACATTCAACTTTGTACACAATGCCAAAATGTTTTCTGAAGCAGTGATATTCCATTTACATTTCCACCAGCTACGTACAAGAAATCCTGCCTCCCTACATCTTTACTAATAGGTGGTATCCTTTTGTTTTTTAATGTTTGCAATTCCTGGGATATGCAGTCATACTTTATTATGTTTTTTAAATATTTTTTTTACTTTGAGAGAGAAAGAGAGAGGTTGGGGGGAAAGGGTCAAGAGCGGGGAGAGAGAATCCCAAGCAGGGTCCATACTCAGCCTGGACCCAGTATGGGGCTCGATTCCACAACCTGGGGATCACAACGTGAATTGAAATCAAGAGTCAGTCCCTCAACTGACTGAGCCACTCAGGTGCCTCTGTTATGGTTTAATTTTTATTTTCCTTCTGAGTAATGTCATGATGAGCGTCCACTCATTCTTATTTGGCATTTGGACATGCCATTTTGCTAAGTACCTGATTAAAAGCTGCTTGTCTTCTTTTTTAAAAATTAGATTCTTTCTTACTGATTTGTAGAAGCCTTTTATATATTCTAGCTATGGGTCCTCTGTTGGTTTATCAATGCACTTTGATGTAGTAAATTCACTTTGGCACATGCATTTTATTGTTTGTGTATTAAAAATTGGGAACAACCAAAATATTCAATCATAGAGACTTTTTAGTCATCATGATATATCCATCCATTGCAAGAAAATATTAAAGTTTATAAAGACTACTGTAGTAACATACAAAATTAAATATTTAATGAGATAAGGGAAAGAAGTAGGATACAAATGTACACAGTCACTAAGATTATAACTTTGAAGTAAAAGGCTGGATGAAAACATCCTACAATGGTGTCTAGTCCATGTACTAGGATGAAAATATAAAGGGAGTTTGCATTTTTCTTCATGTATTACCAAAATTTCTATATTACCTTCCTTCTTAAAAAGAAATCCATATTTGAAAAATAAAAATTCCACACAACAGGCTATTTTTCAAGTCAGTGACAATGTGTGTTAGTACAAATTAAGCTGTCAAAAAACTCTATACTGACCAAATTACTCATAAATGTAGAATTCAACCAAATATATTTTTTTTCACAAAAAGTATTTCTAACTGAAGTCCTGTTTCTTTTTCCAGATATCTATGACATATTCCTCCATGGCCACATATCAATGTTTAATTAATATTAAAAACAAAAATTCAATTTTTTATGCTCCAGTTCTTAAACATTCTGATATTTTAAAAGAATAAAGATCATTTTTCTAGGCATTGTCTCCATGGAGTAGTATTTGGACTTATATATATATATATAAATTACTGAGTTAGTGTTTGTACTAGAAAAGTTATGCTCTTTTTTTTTCTTCCATTTAATTTAAATGTTTTTGAATGCTGGCCTGGACAAACAGTTTTTTTCTTTTTTAAGCAGGCTCTATCTGGGCTTGAAACTCACAACTCTGAGATCAAGACTTGAGCTGAGATTGAGAGTTGGATGCTTAACCGGCTGAGCCACCCATGCACCCCTCCATATTGTTTGAACTTCTGTTTCTTAAAAATAGTTCTCTCAAACAATGCTATAAAGGACATTATTGAGTCAAACAATGGAAGTGGAACATGGATGGTAGATTAAATATAGTGAAGTTTACTGAAAATGATTAAGTATCCCATGGTTATGTAACAGACTATCTTCATTCTTAGCAATTAGGCAATTTACTCTCAAATTTGTTCAGGAGAAACAAATCATCATGTGTATATATGCAATGGGACAGCAAATAGTAAAGCAAATGGGGCAAAATATTAAGTGAATCTGGGTAAAGGGCCCATGAGCATGCTATTTTTACTCATGAGAATTTTCTCTAAGTTTGACATTTTTTCTAAAAAGACTGTTTAAAACAAATTAGTATATTTTAAAATTCTGAGCTTATTAACTTTGAGTATTCAAAATACATTATTTTGTGGGGAAAAAAAAGTTCTCCAAACAGTAACCACACAACCACACACACACACCTCTATATATGCTTTAAACTAGCTTTGAAAAGACTCATAAGCTTTAGCTAGCTGGATTTTACACTGCTCTTTATATTCACAGATAATCCTGGGTGGCTTGGGCAGATGTTGAGGTCCTCAAGGGAGAGTGTGGGCAGGCACTCACTACAGCACGAGCAGCTGTGCTTTTGTGTGTTTGTGTATAGGGGTATGTAAGAACTAATTTGATAAAAGGTCTGTTGATGAAAAAAAAATTTTGAAAGTTAGCAATCTAAATACATAACTGATATTATTTTCACATTTAAACTAACTAGTCAACTAACCTATGCCTAAAAACATTTAATGATAGGTAATCACTATCTCGTGAGGCCACCCATATCTTTGGGCAGCTATTAACTATTAGATTTCAGTTAACAATGAGAAACAAACTTCTCTCCTGTTCTTCCACTCGCTGGTCCTGATTTACTTCTTAGGATTATACAGAACAAACAAATCTAATTTCCCTTCCACATGACAACTCTTTAGATTCTAAGATTAATACCTCACTTTTCTACATTTTCTCTTTCCCATACCATCTTAGATACTCTCCATTAATATACTTATACCCAGAATTAAATGCAACACACCCAGGAAAATCTTATCCATGAGTATAGCACATATAACATTTTTACTCAAAACAGCATACACCCAGTAAAAAGAATTCCCCTTAATCTTTCTGTTACTCAAGTGACACTGCTGACTCATATTGGGTTTACTGTTGATTACAGATCTCTCTCTGGTTTACCTATATTGTTTCAAAGCTATTTCTTTCCTTTTATTTATGCAGCTGAATTTTTGAATGCAAGGGTAGTACATAATGTATATTCCTTTCACATCGCATATTTTGAGAGTCCATTTTCTCAGTATTTGAAATCTTTTTGGATACTATTCTACTATCCAGAAGTCTGTGATAGAATTCCTAGCTTTGTGCCATTGACAAACTTTATTACCATGAATTTTACATCTTCATCTAGTTCAAAAAAAAATATTGAACAGGACAAATACTGAGAAGATATCTCATACTAAAAGACTACCTCCATAGGTAGCCACATCCCTCTTGGTCAGTATTCTTTAGGTATACACTACCAGTTTCTTGTATCTCACCATACCACTGTTAAGCTTATCATTCTCCATTTGATCCATAAGAACGATCATAGCATACTTAAATATATTACCTGTTCTAACTGCACAGTACCTTATTTACCATGAAAGTAACTGAGACAGTATGAGAGAATTTGAGTTTATAAGCAATCACCTGTATTTAGGCACTCTATCAATGACAGATTACAGTAATCACTACTTTTTTTTAAAAAAGTCTTCATAATCCACCTCTGTAATCTATTTTAGAACTTAACAAGAATCAAAACTATTCTCACCAGGGATTAGCTTACAGAATCATCTGGTTCTTACTTCGAAAACAGGAACTATGCTGTATGATTCCACTCTTCTGGAACCTTTTTCATCTCTTCAATTTCTTACACATCACTGAAAAAAATACAGTGATCTCACTGGCAAGGCCAACCGTCTTAGTAGCCAGAAACATTATGTAGTTCAGTGATTCTTAACTAGGAGTGACTGTGCCATGCCCAGGGAATATCTTACGATGTCTGGAGATATTTTTGGTTGTCAAGACTGGGGAGCACTACTGTCATCTAGTGGGTAGAGGCCAGGAAAGCTGCTAGCATGTTACAATGCACAGGACAACTTCCCACAACAAATAATTGTCTGCTCCAAGTGCCAAGGCTGCTGAAACTGAAAAATCCTGATATAGTTAAGTGTCTTACTAATCACACAAGGAACCCATTTTCAATATTCATAGTAGGAGGGCTTCCAGAATAAAAAATTACTGGTCTAAAAACTTCATGAGTCTATCTGTAACACTTTTGAAAGACTCTAGTTATTATAAGTTGCAAAGTGTCAGACCTATTGCTTAATACCCAAGTAACCTTTTACAAGTGACATGGCCCTCTGGGCCCCACCTTCTTCCATCTGTAAAATGCAGTTAAAGTCAACACATTTTACAAGGTTGTGAACATCAAGTGAGATAATGTGAAAGTGTTTAATAAATGGTAAAGCACTGGGGTTACCTGGTGGCTCAGTCGGTTAGTGTCTGACTTTAGCTCAGGTTGTGATCTCACAGTTTGTCAGTTCAAGCCCCACATAGGGCTCCCTGGTGTCAGCACAGAGCTCGCTTCGGATCCTCTGTTCGCCCCTGCTCTCTGTCCCTGCCCTGCTTGTGCTCTCTCACTCAAAAATAAATAAACATTAAAAAAAAAATGGTAAAGCACTATTTATATTTAGGTTATAATTACATAGTCTCATACAAGGAGCAAACATAGGATTCCATATCTACTTCCTTATAGATCTTCTCTACTAATCCTGGTTCCATGCTCTGTAACAACACAGAATAAGTCTATTCCTTCTTCAAATACAGAATCTTCACGCATATCTTCTTCTAAGTTAAATATCTCTACTTTCTGCAATGATTTTCATACGTTATCTGTCTTTATCCTTTTGGAGAAAGGTGAAAAATGCCCTCTTTCCCATCAGTTGCTATGTTTAAATCCTTTACTTTCCATTAGGTCCCAGTTCAAATGCACCATGAACATAAAGTCTTCCACTGTGAAACATAACTTCTTTCTCCTGTTTCTCTTTTGAAGTTTCATAGCATTTTATCTGGGCTGCTCAGGGAAGGCCACGTGGTCAGTGACATGGGCTTAGGCTTTAAAATAAGATTAATTAAGGTTCAAATCCTGGCTCCTGACTCAAGATATTACTATGAACAAATTTCTGACATTCAGTTTCTTCATCTGTAAAATGAAGCTATCATCCAATTTTTAATAGAGCTGCTAAAACCAAGTGAGATGTCACAGGTATAAGACCTAACAGAGTGCCAAGAACACAGTGGGAATTAAATAGGTGTTCCTTGTCCTCCTCCACCTCTCACTTCCTATTTATTTTTAAAGTTCATTTATTTTGAGGGAGAGAGAGAGAGAAAGTAGATGGGAAGGGTAGAGAGAGAGGGAGAGAGAGAATCCCCAGCAGGCTCCACACTGTCAGAGTAGAGCCCAATGTGGGACTTGAACTCACAAACCATGAGATCATGACCTGAGCTAAAATCAAGAGTTGGTTGCTTAACCAGGAGCCATCTGGACGCTCCTCACTTCCTATTTTAAGTAACAATTTATGTAAATCTTATTTCCTTTAAGATTACATGCTTCTTGAAGGCAGAATCATGCCAACTTCCCTCTTCTCCCTACTTCTTACAGCTTCCCTCCTTCATAATAACTCCAAGTGCTAAAATTTAATGGTGTTCAGAATATGAATGTGACATGTCTCCTTGCTTCTCAACCACCTTGGTTATTCTACTCCAGATACTCTCTAGATAGTCAATCTCTCTCAATTTCTTTAAAGTTCAACATATAATTGGTTTATTGAATTAACTGCATGAATATATGACATTCTCATCAACAGAATGATTAAAAAACAGAGTACCACAATAAAAGTATAAGATTTACTGGATTCTCATCAAGGCCTCTATAAGGTCCCTCCTTATATGTTAAGTAAAACTCAATTCTAAATCATGGTAAGATGAAAACCTATACTCTGAACTTTTTTTAAGGATTTTTTTTTAAATTTTAAGTACAACTACACCCCAATGTGGGGCTTGAATTCACAATCCTAAGATCAACAAGACTAACATGCTCTACCAACTGGAGCCTACCAGGTGCCCCATATCCTATTGAACTTTGAATCTTAAAGGGATTACTGTTCTTAACTTTGGCAGACTACAAATATACAGTTAATATCATGAATGTTAACCCAATTTTAAAATAACCATTAAAGCAAAGCCAAAATACTACTAGATTTTTGCCAAAAGAACAAAGGTAAAGAATTTTTTTCTTTTAGAAGGAACAAATTTGCACTAATTCATTTATGCCTGCTCATCTCTGCAGTGCCAATGTATATTCACAAACCTAAAAGATGGCTGGCTGGACCATGAGAACAAAAATCAGACCACTGAACAGAGAAGAATAAACTAATTAGAATAAAAGCAATAATATGGGTCTTATTACATGTATGTGTATTTTATAATTAATAACGATTGCCATCCCTGTTACAGTGTTCATAAATATCAAGGTATAGTCTTTCATCTAATTATTACAAAGAGCAAGAAATGGTCAATCCTAGTTTTTATAAATCAAAAGTAAATCTATCTTTCACCAAATTGCGTTCTGGTAATTATTTCTTCTGCATCTTCTATAAACAAACATTTATAACAAAATTACATTAAGTTATAAATAAATCAAGAAGTTTGTAACTCTAGAAATTATTACCTGTTTGCCTTTACTAACTTCATTTCCACAAGTGGAAAGTTCTTCAAGAATCACTGTGCAGTGTGTTATTAAACTTGTTGTCTGTGAGGTCGACAAGGGATCCCAAATGAATTCTACAAAGTCTGAAACAAAAGTTTCAGTAGTGTACAATTTATTTCCTAGATTGCTTTGCCTGTCACGTGTAAATAAGTCAGGTCTTCAGAAAAGACTTCCCTCCTTCGTATTAAAATCCATGCCATTCATTACCATTATGTATTTGCATACATCTTCAATTTCCTTGTCCTTTTTGGGCTCTGCTGAACTTGTCTCACTCAATCACAGCCCTAGTTAAATCCACTGGTCATTGAGTCTGTGGCTCCAACTATGTGGCTAAAACATGGCTAGAAAAAAATACACTTTAAATTTATCACTGTGAAACCCCAGTGAACTCTTCAAGCTGTCTAGTAATCATTGTTTCCCTGGCCCATTCCCCCTCCCTCCCATGCAGATGATTATTTCCTGTGCTTTCCTTCCTCTTCACTCTGTTAATGGACTTGACTCTTCTAGATGACTATTTATTTTTTTCTTCTCTTCCCTTGCTCTCATCTTCAGCTGATTACTTCCTCAACGATGAGAAAATAGATCAGAAGAGATGTTCTACAAAGGACTACCACAGAATCTACACACCTACCTGCATCTATACCCACATATTCTTGTCTTCCATTCTCATTGATAAAGCACCACACTCCTCGCTAAGGCCAATCTTTCATTTGTGCAAAAGGTATCAACACCTTTGGCTTACTGGAAGATTCTGTTCCCAGAATTCTACCCTCTTCATTTAAATATTTTTAAAATATTTATTTATTTTTGAGAGACAGTGGCAGGGGGGGAGCAGGCAGAGAGGGAGACACAGAACTCGAAGCAGGCTGCAGGCTCTGTGCTGCCAGCATAGAGCTCAATGTGGGGCTTGAATTCACAAACTGTGAGATCACAACCTGAGCTGAAGTCAGGTGTTTAACTGACTGAGCCACTCAGGCACCCCCAGAATCCTGCCCTCTTAACTCCGGTATTGCCATTGCTTCTACTGGATCTTCCCCATCAGTCTCCAGTTATTCTCTTATATTAAAAATAATGCCTCCCTTGACCCTTCTTTCCCCTCTAGTACGGCCTTATTTCTTTCCTTCATTTTATAATAATTCTTCAAAAAACTCTCTGAACTGTCTATTTCCAATTTATCTCCTCCTATTAACTCTTGAATACACTTCAATGAGGCCTGATCTCCAACCATTCTACCTAAACAACTACTTTTACCATCACAGGTGACCTTCACATTGCAAAACCTAATGGTTGATTCTAGTCCCCATCTGATTTATCTGCAACAGTTGATCATTTCCTTCACAAACATTTTTAAAAATTTTTATTTATTTTTGAGAGAGAAAGAGAGAGGGAGAGAGAGAACAAATGCAGGAGGGGTAGAGAGAGAGAATCCCAAAAAGGCTCTGCCCTATCAGTGCAGAGCCCCATATAGGGCTCGAATCCACGAGCCACGAGATCATGACCTGAGCCACCCAGGCATCATCAAACATTTTTTTTCTTGGCGTCTGGGAAACCACTCCGAGTTTTGCACCTACCTCTCTGGTCTCCTCTGCTGGCTGCTTTTCATCTCTTTTGACTTTAAAAACTCTGGAGTACCTCAGGACTCAGCTCACTTACCTTCTCTTTCCTATTCATGTTTATCCCTTAGTATTTAAGGTCAGTTTTGCAGCTTTAAATGTCATCCACGTGCTGATAAATTCCAAATTTATGTCTGCTACTTGGACCTCTCCTTTATGCTGATATATTCAACAACCTAGCTGATATTTCTACCTGGATGGTAGGCATCAGAAACTCAACATTTGTCAAACTGAGCTCCTGATAACACCTCCTTACCCTAAAGCTCCTCTCAGTCTTTTCCATTTCAGGAAATGGCGAATCTGTCCTTCCAAATGCTCAGGCCCAATCCCATGCGGTCACTCTTGATTCCTCTCTTACTCACACAACCAATCCATTCTCAAACTGTTAGTGCTGTCTTTGCAATGTATGCTTAATTCGACCACTTTTCAGCACCTCCACTTTTAACACTCTAGTCCAAGCCAGTATCACCTGTTGCTTAATTACTGCAAAAGCTTAAGTAGTCTGCCCACTGTTCATTCTCAACACAGTAACTACAGCGATTCTGTTAAAATGTTAGGCAGATAGTATCATTCCTCTGTTCAAAACTCTCTGGGCACCTGGGTGGCTCAGTCAGTTAAGCAACCAACTTCAGCTCAAGTCATGATCTCGTGGTTTATGAGTTCAAGCCCTGCATCAAGCTCTCGGCTGTCAGCACAGAGCCCACTTAGGATTCTTTGTCCACCTCTCTCTCTGCCCCTCTCCTACTTGTTCTCCTAAAGTAAGTATACTTAAAAAAAAATAACTCTTCAATTACTTCTCACTTTTTCACTTACACTAAAAAAAATGAAGTCCTTACAAATGATTATAAGGACTCACATAATGTAGCTCATGTCATTTTGTTAACTTCTACCTGCTTTCCACCCTTCCTCACTCTAGTATAGCTACACTGGCTGGCCTATGTGCTGTTTTTCAATCAAATTAGGCCAGCTCCTGCCTCAGGGCCTTTGTGTTTGCTGTTTCCACTGCCTTGGATTCTGTTTCCTCAGATATTCATATGGCCCACTTCTTCCTTTCGGAATTGGCCAATCTATTTTATTTATTTATTTTTTATTTTAGAGGGAAAGCATACATGAGTGGGGAAGAGAGGGAGAGGGAGAAAGAATCTTAAGGGAAATCTTAAGCTGGCTCTAGTCTAGGGCAGAGCCCAACGTGGTACTCTATGCCATGTCCCTGGGATCATGACCCGAGCTGAAATCAAGAGTTGGACGCTCAACTGACTGAGCCACCGAGGCACCCCAGCCAATCTATTTTACATTGCACTCCTCTTCAATAATTTGTATCCCTTTCCCTTACCTTTTCATCTTAGCCCTCATAACTAATATGTTCTAGATTTTATCTTGTTTATTATTTTTTTTTTACAGAATATAAGCTCCTGGAGGGAAGGGATTATTATTCACTATATATGCTGAAGCAACAACAGGGTCTGACATAGGACAGACCCTTGTAAAACACAAGTTAAATAACAGAAAAAATGAAATAGGTTAAAAAAAAAAAAAGCAAAAAACAAAACAGTGATTTCTCAAGCATCTGGAAAGTTAGGCTTCTAATAACTTTAGAGATAACTGGTCAACTAATACTGAGAGCCTACTATGTACCTAATGTTCAGTACAAGAGACAGCATAAACAAGATTATTAGGTAGGTAGCTGCCTTTGAAGAACTCTAATGGCAAATACATTTATATCAGCAATTACAATTCAATGTGTAAGTATCACTACAAGTTCAGAGTGCTACAGGAACCCAGAAAGGTGTGCCTAAACCAGTTCCTAGAAGTGATGTCCATACTGAGTCCTGACAGATAAAGAGGAGTTAGCAAGATAGAAGAAGTGGGCTGGGAGGTTTGTCAAAACGATGAAACATAGAAGATACAAGAAGAATACAGCTGAAATACACAAGTGGGGATGAGGGAAAAGAGGAGTGGAGCTCAGCAAGAAATGGGGTTGGAGAATTACTAAGCAGAGAGGTGATTCTGAAAGACTAAGAAAGTCATGTTAAAGAGTTTAGACTTCATCCCAAGGGCAGTTAAGAATAATAAAGTGTTTTAAGTGAGGTATGACAGAAGCAGATTCACATTTTAGACAGATTACTTTGGTTGTTGTATAGAAAATAGGTTAGAAAATGGAAAAAAACCAGATGTGGCAATTGCTTATGGAAGGAAGGAAGGAAGGAAAGAAGGAAGGAAGATGGAGGAGCGAATGACTTGAAAGTCCTGGTTTGAATACACGGGTAGATAGATGGAGATGTCACTTTCTAGACAAGGAATATAAGAAGAACAGATCTACAGCAAAGGATTTAAGTATGATCTGACATGTGGACTGTGAGGTGCCTGTTGAACATCCAAGTGGATGTATTCGGAAGGTACTTTGATAAGAAAGATCCGGATTTTTTCCGGTTCCTTTGGACTTAAAATTGTGTAGAGGAGTACCATCCAAAGTAACTTTCTAAATGATGGAAAAAACACATTATATCTGCACTATTTGATGGACACGACCTACATATGACTACTAAGAATTTAGTGTCATTAGTGTGACTGAGGGACTGAATTTTAATTTTTATTTCCTTGAAATGTGTATTTTAATAACCACATTTAGTTACTGGTTACCACAATGAACAAAAATATAGATAACACTAAAACAGAGTATGAAATAGCCTAGGGGTTCATGAAGAGTACAAGGGCATCCAGGAAAGAACTTAAGAATAAATACACAGTATTAATTTCTCATAATTCTACTTACTTGAGGTTTAATTTTAAGTGAAGTATTTGGAGTTTTCAGAAGAGTATTTAAATCAGTCATATATATCCTGTGCTATCATTAAGACAACTAGGTAAAAGTAGTAACTTAATACAACCATGACTGCACTGCAAGATATGCTGAGAAAAATCTTAAAGTTTTAGCCAAATTGGCTAAGAAGCAATAGAAAGTAGTTGCTTCATCATTTAAGACAGTTCTATAGACTTTGCTATCAAAATCCATTCTCAGGGCCATGGTGAAACAGATCTTTATCAAGTACAATTTCAGTTTAAATAAGCCTTCAGACTGAAGCACAAGCATCAATGCTAAATGCAGATATGAAGATGTAGTAATGTTTTTTTAAAGAAAAAATAACAAGGGATGCCTGGGCGGCTCAGTCAGTTAAGTGTCTGGCTTTGGCTGGGGTCACAATCTTGCAGTTGGTTGAGTTCAAGTCCCTCGTCATGCTCTGTGCTGACAGCTCAGAGTCTGGAGCCTGCTTTGGATTCTGTGTCTCCCTCTCTCTCTGCCCCTCCCCTGCTCATGCTCTGTCTTGCTCTCTCAAAAATAAACAAATGTTAAAAAAGAAAATAACAAGAAAGGGGAAGAAGTCAAGGGAAAGGAAGAAATACATGCAGTAGGAATCAAATAAATGACTTAGGGGTTATAAAAGCAACACTAATGTCACAAATGCTAAAGGCTGAAGAATACTAGCTAGTCTGGTAGCCAATCCCTTGTGCAAACAAGCTCTTTTAACCACCTTCAATTATGACATCTCTTGATTTTTAACGCATATTACTTGTATTTGAAAACTTCTGATAAAAGAATCTGTGACTGTAACAGAAATTAGTGATCTTCGATCTGCCAGAGAACAATTTAATTTTATCAAGTTTACAAAGCAGTACCTGTAAGTCGAGGAATAACTGTTTTATTGATGATAGCAGACAAGATTTTCTTATCAGAACCATCTTCCTTCTTTGAATCTTCCATACTGCTAGCCATATATTCTTCTATAGATGTGAACCATGGCATCTGTTTTAAGCCTACAGCATCAAACTTATAAATAAAATTATTAAAGTTATCAATAAATTCTTACACAGTTTATTTTTAAAAAGTTAGTTTTTTCAGTAATCACTAGAGCTTTTCTGAGGAAAAAAAGGAGTAATTCCATATTTTAACCCCCTGTATAAAACACTAGACCAAGGGTAGGCAGGATGGCATGACTAGGACAAGATGTCTCAAAAATATGACAGAAAACTACATTCCATGCATCACTCATATGACAAATATGCCAAAAATGCCATATTCAGAACCTACCACACTTTACTACTGAAAAAAATATATACATTTGTAAGAATATCACTTAAAATAAATACAGATTTTGTTTACAAAAATTCAATTTACATCATACAAAATTCACTTTTGGTTCCCTCAATTCTCATAGGCACAAGTGTGTATTTTATAGGTGGTTTAGCTTATGAGGCAAGTAGCAGATGGCCAATTATGATCTGTTGAATGAATGAATGAATGAACAGATCTCCACTAGGTGTAACAGAGTACTCAATTTGGCCTGAGTGCTTAACAACGAGGCTCCTGTGCAACAAACTGCTTACCATTTTCTTAGGGATAAGCTTAGTTTCTATATTATGAAGACTGCCTGGCCCTGAACCCAACACAGTGAGCAACAGACATGCATGACTGGGGCAGAGAAAGATAAAAGGACATGGTTCTGTCGCCTTCACTTCGTTAAATTTTTATCTTCAGTTTTCCTCTATTCTTACAACTTTGTTTTCTCATTTCCATTTTCTTACTAGGCACATCCACATGGATGTTCCACTATCATTTCAGCATCCATGTACAAAGTAAAACTTCCTTCAAAATCTTTTTCCCTCTGGAAAGTTCCCGTTTCTATTAATGGAACTACCGCTGTTCTAATAACCCAGAATCAAAACACTGGGGTCACCTTTCAATGTTGTGTGTTAAGGTTATTCTTGGTATTTTACTAATTCTTTAATTTTAATTCCAATATAGTTAAAATAGTTATATTAGTTTCAGGTATACAATATAGTGATTCCATAATTCCATACATCACTCAATGCCCATCACAAGTGCACTCCTTAATCCTCATTGCCTACTTCACCCATTCCCTTAACCCTCTCCCTTCTGGTAACCATCAGTTTGTTCTCCACAGTTATGAGTGTATTTCTTGATTTGTCTCTTTCCTTTGCTCATTTGTTTCTTAAATTCCACATTTGAGTGAAGTCATATAGTATTTGTCTTCCTCTGACTTATTTCACTTGGCATTATACTCTCTAGCTCCATCCATGTTGTTGCATATGGCAAGCTTTCATTCTTTTTTATGGCTAATATTCCATTGTGTATATAGAGACACACACACATACCCCACATCTTCTTTATCCTTTCATCAGTCGATGGACACTTAGGCTGCTTCCATACTGTGGCTACTGTAAATAACGCTACTACAAACATAGGGGTGCGTGTATGAATTAATGTTTTTGTATTTTGGGGGTAAATACCCAGTAGTGTGATTACTGGATCAGAGGGTAGTTATATTTTTTAACTTTTTGAGGAACTTCCATACCATTTTCCATAGTGGCTGCACCAGTCTGCATTCCCACCAACAGTGCATGAAGATTCCTTTTTTCTGCACATCCTCGCCATCACTTGTTTCTTGTGTTTTTTATTTTAGCCATTCTGACAGGTTTAAAGTGATGTCTCACTGTGGTTTTGATTTGTATTTCCCTAATGATCAATTATGTTGAGCATCTTTTCATGTGTCTGTTGGCTGTGTGGATGTCTTCTTTGGAGAAATGTCTATTCGTGTCTTCTGCCCAATTGTTAATTGCATTGTTTGGATTTTTGAGGGTGTTGAACTGTATAAGTTCTTCATACATTTTAGATGCTAACCCTAATTTATTAGATATGTCATTTGCAAATATCTTCTCCTGTTCAATAGGCTGCCTTTTAGTTTTGTTGTTTCCTTCACTGTGCAGAAGCTTTTTACTGATTCTTAATTCACAAAACCTCCTATAATCAACCCTTTATTTCTCTTCCCTTTATCACTATCACTGTATGTAAGGGATTCACTACCTTGGACTTGGGCTACAGCAATAGCCTTCCAGTATTATCTCACCTGTTTCTTCCCTCCAAGTTAGCCAGCTGCTAGGACTTCCTAAAACACTACTTTCATAATTCTACTCTTCCCATTATTTATCAAAATAAGTTCCTATCTCTTAATTTAGGATCTGAACCTCTATGCAACCTCTAGCTCCTGAACTAGGATTTCTCCTTACGTACCTTTACAAAAAAAGTTTTCCTTTTTTTCTCCTGTTTTAAATCTTATATAACCTTCAAATCCTCATTTAAATCCCTCCTCCTCAGTGTAGCTTTCCAAACCAAATAGTCCCAATATAGCATCTCCAACTTCAAAACTCTTGGTACCTATATCACACAGACTAAAATTCTTAAAAGCTAATACTACCTTCACATTTTTCAATGATTTAAAAATGACCTTAACTTACCATAGAAGAAGCTGAAAGACAACAAAAAAGTGTTTCCTTGACAGATGTTTAGTGCTATTCAGCCTTAAATATAAGAGAAGAACCAAGAAAACATGAATGCAGACTACTACCCCAAAGCACTAATTATCAATTCCAACTCTGTGTATTTTAAAGCTAACCTAATAACAAGGGCACTTCAGTAATGAACAGGACAGAATTATTTCTTTCACATGTTAAGCTTAAATACCTTAAGAGGATTCCAATCAATCAACTGAAGTCGGATTAGGGGATTTAAAAGCTTCGGTATGCATAAACTAATGAAAGCTTCATAATAAGAATCAGGAAACTTTTCTCGCCATTGTTGAAATTTCAACAAAATATTTTGGATATTACAAAAATCATCATGTACATCTTCAAAAATCTTCTTGTGATCCCGTAAAATTTCACCTGTAAACAAAAGGAGTCTCTGTATATTTTGCATTTTAAGTTTGTGAGCTTTGCTTCCTATAAACATCATCACGTGTAATGACGTATGTACTCAACAGAGCTGAAAACTTTCCTTTGATATTAACAGATAAATTACCTTTTATTTTTAAAAAATCACTTTAATAGCAATACTGACACTAACAAAATCCACCACTTATTGATTCCCTGCTATTTCAGCATCATAACTATCTTCTCTACAAGGTAGGTGTGACTATTTATAGACAAATGAGCAAACAACATGAGACTCAGGGAGGTCAATGGATCTAAGATCACACAAAATAGAGACAGATGGGTTTGAAACCATCTGTTTTGACTGTAAGACCCACATTAAAAAAAATTTTTTTTAACTTTTATTTATTATTTGAGAGACAGAGTGGGGGATTGGAAGGGGCAGAGAGAAAGAGAAAGAGAGAAAGAGAGAGAGAGAGAGAGAGAGAGAGACAGAATGAATGAATCTGAAACAGGCTCCAGGCTCTGAGCTGTCAGCACAGAGCCTGACGCAGGGCTCGAGACCATGAGCTGTGAGATCATGACCAATCTGAGCCAAAGTTGGACACTTAACCGACTACACCACCCAGGTGGCCCTGTAAAGCCCACATTCTTTCAAATATGCGACATTTATCTATGAATCACTAAAATAGTTATTAAATTTAAATGTTTTATTTATTTTCAAAAGATTTTCTTTTTAAGTAATCTTTACCCTAAACATGGGCTCTAACTCCTAACCCTGAGATCAAGAGTCGCATGCTCTACCAACTGAGCCAACCAGACACCCCTAAATTTAATTGTTTTCAATTAAAAATGATAATATAGAAGGTATACAATAGAGAAATGAAACCAAATTGTTCATGGCTCCTTTATAAAAAATGAGAAAAGCTGAGGGAAAAAACTATAAGGATGCAGAAAACTCACAATGTTCCTCCATTTTATGCCATTTTTTCAAAGGTAGGAAAAATCTTTTTTTTTTTTTTTTTTTTTTTTTTTTAAGTAAACTCTACCCCCCGTGTGCAACTCGAACTCATGACCCCAAGATCACAAGTCATATGCTCTATGGACTGAGCCAGCCAGGCACCCCAGGAAGTCTTAAAGGGGAAAAAAATGTGTTCCTTTTTCCTTGAATTTCCCCAACGATATTTAAGAGCAATCACAGCAAAGCATTTCCAAGCATTTCCTACCATTTCGATACTTCAAATTAAGACATATTAGAAACCTGGTAACTGACCTTGGGTTTTTTGGAAGTCAATCATGTCTGCTGAAGACAGTTCATCATCACTAGATGTCCCTTCCTGATGATCACAATTCCCAGAAAGTGCCCTTGCTTGTCTTCTTTGTGACCTATGTTTTGCAATAAACCGAAAACAAATTTAAAACAGTTCCTAAAAACAAAAACAAAACAAAAAACAGTTCCTGCTGAAAAGAAATACTTTAAAACAAAAACTAGGAGTCATCATTTATTTACAATGTCTAGAATATATACCATATTATTATTATTAGCACACAATTTTGTTATTATTTTTGGCATTTTAGCTTCGTTAATCTGAATTGGTGGTTCTCCCTCTTTCTTAAAGTACATTCCCATGGGCTACCCAGATTTTAAAGAGGGGGTAACAATATAATAACCAGCTTCTAGTTATAAGCAAGTCCCAGACCGATAAATGCCATCTTACCCATTCCTTTTGACTGATCCAATATACCAATGTGTCTTTAAACCCTGGGGCTAAGGACTGTTTAACTAAATTTTGGTTTTATGTCATTCTCACAAATTAATGTTCAGTTACGGTTATGGGGATAACTATGGTTAAGTGGTTAAAAATACTTGCTCAAGTCTTCACTTTATATATAGCTACCTTCGAGATTCAATCTCTTCCAAAATCCATGGAGTTTTTTCACCTACAGCCAAACTTCCATTTGTTGATGTCTCAGCTTTGCCTGTTAACAAATAAAATTAATTTCATGCTGCAAATTCTTAAGAGAAATAAAACAAAACATTCTGAAAACAAAAGTTGTATTTTGGGTGTATATACATGTAGGTATATATATAAACACACTTACTTTGCTTAAATCGCATACTTCATCATATAACGAAATTATAATGTTAACTCCCTATCACAATATTGATAGGCATTGAGCCTGCTAGCCTAAGATACCCTGGCTGGTGAATATAGTTCAGCACTTGAGAACAGTAATAAAATTCTACCGTGTTTCTTTTTCTTGTATTATTTTTCAGGTGTTTTCACCAGTTCTTTTTTTTTTTCTCATCCCTGAATTACTAGAAATATTTGCATTACCAGTAAGTTATTCATATTATTTGTTACTTTGGTATGTACCATAATTTATAACTAACTACAAGTCATGTGTTTGAAAGTCATTTTGCTTTAATCAGCTACTTGGTTACGATCTCATCTCCTTCACTATTCCCCAACAGAACCTAATCAAAGGAAGGCATCTCTGAAAATACAAAACCAGTGTGAGAACTAAAAGGCAGCATCCAAATCTTATTTGAGATCTTACAGATGATTCTCTACTAAAACCCACCAAAATGTCTTTAACCTCCACACCTAATCCGTGGATCAGCCATGAAATCTTTAAGTTAGATTTCTGACACAGCCTACGGACTTAGGTCAACTCATCTCAACAAAGTCATTATATAGCCATATACTGTCTCAAATACCAAATGATTAGAAGTTGTAATTTTTATTTTTTTTTGTCTTAGGCTTAATTCAAGATATTTTGAAGCCCTAGTTCTAAATATTTTGGGGTTTTTGCAAAGAAATAGGTGAAAGGTTAGTGGGAAAATACACAAAAAGGCACTTTTTTTATACAGAAATAAAAATATTTTTATTCTCTAGCTGATAAATCATAAATGATATTGAATATGAAAAACACTAACGTGATAACTGTTGTAAGTACGTTGATTCATGTTTTAATTCATCTTGCCTGCGTTTCATAAAGGTCATGGCTTGTTTTAAAAGGAGTGCATGCATGGATGACTCTATTTCTTGGATGCTGATAATCTGAAATACACATATAAGTAACATTTTGTAGGTCATCAATAATCAATTATAAAAAGTAATACTCAGATAAGCATATATATGTGCTCAATACTCATATAAAAGAAACATTTCCAATACTACCACATTTTAATTAAAAAAAGATTGTGAGATAGAGACCTGGCTGCCAATACTTTAATATTGATAATCAACTTACTGCACTGAAACAGCTATAAATATCATAAAAAATGAAAGCAAATGGGTTCAAGTCTGGAACATGGATAGGAGTGAATAGATAAGAAACAGGATTTTTTTTTTTTTAATTTTGAGAGAGAAAGCACACGTGCGTGAGAGAGGGGTGGGTGGGGGGTGGGGTGGGGAGAGAATCCAAAGTAGGCTCTGCACTGTCAGTGTGGAGCCTGATGTGGGGCCTTAACTCACGAACTGTGAGATCATGACTGAGCTGAAATCAAGAGTCGGACGCTCAACTGAGCCACCCAGGCACCCCCAAATAGGATTCTTTTTTATTTGAGATATTAGGAGGAGAAAATAAAGGTGCAGATATTTTTCATAAGCTGAGGGGGCAGACTGTAGGAGAGCACTTGAGGAAACTGTTAAATCTGAAAAAAGGGGAGAATGGAAGAGACCTAACCAGACAGGTAAGAAAGCTGTGAAGCAAAAATGAATGATTAGTTTCTTACATTTCTTGAGCAACAATTCTCCCCACTCCAATGATGTTCCCATAGCAGCTGCCCTGGGTACATCAATGTGTAGGCCAATGAAACTTTAATTCTTCAAGGATCAATGAATTAAGTTGTATTGCAATAAATACTTCAGAAAGTAACTACCAAGTGACGGTAAAAGGTAGTCAACTTGAAACAACTGGAGAGAAAAAAATCCAATTATTTGGTAATATGTTAAATGTAAATAAAAAGCAATGAATAAAGTAGAGTGTATTTTTTAAATGGTTTGTCTACTTAAAAAAAAAAGTCAACTCAAGACCCAAATGTAAGGACTTAGTATGTATAAAACAAAAGCAGACTTATAAAGGGAGAGAATGATTCATAAATCTGATTAACACAAAAATGTCAAATGATCAGGATGTCAAAAAAAACACTGCAAACGAAATCAAAAGACAAACTGGAAAGTTTACCTATATCAAGTGGCATTAAAAATTTTAAGCAGTAAACAATTTTCACCATATAAGGAAAAAAAAGGAAAAAAAAAGAAAAATTGCCAATATGAAAAAAGATAACAAGGCAAAGACAACTCACAAAAAGAGACTGCATGTGTTAATAAAAAAAAGGTTTTGTTTGAGATCAAAATAAGTACGTACAAGCAAAAAACATTATTTATTAAAAAAAATTTTTAATGTTATTTTTGAGAGAGAGTGTAAGTGGAGGGGAGAGAGAGAGAGAGAGAGACAGACAGACAGAAGATCCTAAGCAGGCTCTGTGCTGACAGCAGAGAGCCCAATGTGGGGTTCCAACTCATGAACCATGAAACCATTACCTGAGCCAAAGTCGGATACTTAACTGACTGAGCCACCCAGGTACCCCTGCAAAAATCATTTTTTAAATGAAGTAAGCTAAAAGTAAAACTGATGCAATCTTTCTGGTATTCAAATAATTTAGCAATGTTTCATAAGCTTTAAAAGATATTTAGAAACTTTGACTTAATAATTCACTTTCTAGGAATTTTTTTAAACACATGGAATTTTAACACAAAAATTTATATACAAAACTTTGTTATTTATAATACCAAAATAATTGCAAAAAAATCCCAACTGTCCAATATTAAGGGGATACTTAATATCACAGCATGTCAAAAATGTGTAGGAAAACCCTGAAGGAAATTAGTTGTGGGATATTAGACTTAAAAAAAAAAATCTCATGGTAAGGGGATTTTTTTATAAAAAGGAAATATTGTATTTATGACCATGTACCTTTTCATTAAGACAGTCAATTAAATTTTCCACATAAATTTTCATGCTTTTATAGAATTTAAAATTTAGAGCTTGATTTGATGAATTCTCTAGTTTCTGGATGGTACTCTTCGAACTCTTGACATCTTGTATGTATTTTTCATATTCCCTCAGGTGTGAGCGGTGAGTATCCTGTAGCAGTGTTAACCTAAATAAACAAAATAAAAATAAATGAAAACTGCCTTGTTTCTCCAACTTTGATTTCTACCACGATAACTATCAATCTAATGAAATTTTTTTTTCAAGCTATCTTACAGAGCCCACCAAGGAAACGGACAAGCCTATAAACCTGTGTTTATGAGACTTGCTGAGCAAAGGACACCACAATGAAAAAGGTCTCAAAGGAAAAGGGAGGAAAGGACACTTACAGGTTTCAGGTGCTTGAGCTAATCAGAGGATAATTTTACAGTGAAAGTTAGTAAGTGTGGATTGATCAGAATTTGTAAACTAGGTGAGTTGCTAGACAATCCAAGGTCTTATATTTGAATACGGGAATCCATGTGGAGTTACTGTTAAATCAGTTTGTGGTCTTTCTTCGAATATGGGTATTACTGAATAAGCTGGTATTAAAACCATTTGAACATGTTATGATTTGGTATAATTTAATGTTTTATGACTCGATGGTTTTATCTGTCATTAGAATTTGATGTTCTTTCAGGCATATTTCCTGTTTTTGCTGTAGTCCCCCATACACTGCTTTATTGATAACACAGCCTACTTTTATTTTTTTATTTTTAAAAATTTACATCCAAATTAGTTAGCATATAGTGCAACAATGATTTCAGGAGTAGATTCCTTAGTGCCCCTTACCCAACAGCCTACTTTTTTTTTTTTTTTAACTCTTATTAGTATCACATTTATCAACTAACGTAGCAAGAAACAAATGTCAAATATAATTCAATGTCTGCTTATTTTTTAGAAGTCAGTTATCTCTCTGTATATTTGCCAGCAGAGGAATAAGAAACACTATTTCTTTAAAAATATCTGGAATGTGTTTTCCACTAATATTCGACACTGTGAGTACATTACAATTTGAGAATTAACTACAAATGAAGTAACAAATTCATAGTATGTAGACTTGAACTTTCTTAAAAAAATTCAACTCCTTCAGCTAACTTGCTGTGTATAATGAAAAATCATTAGTAAACACTTGCTTAGACCAAATGTCATCTTTTTTTTTCTTAAAGACCAAAAATGTCTTCTAAGTTTCCCTGGAACGATGACTAATGCATTTGTCTTTCCAAGTTTTTCCTTGCATTATGTAAAGAATAGAGACAGTTAAGAAATAAGACAATAATGTACAGAAAGCATTAAAAAACTGCTTTAATTAAGTGGAATATTATTGGTTATAGCAGTAAGATCATAAATACATATTAAATGAAAAAAGCAAGGTAGAGAACAGGGGATATGATGTGCTTTAATTTTGTATAAAAAATGGGGCAATATATAAGTATATATGTACTTGTATAGACATACATACAGACTACTTCTGGAATGAAACAGGAAACCGGGAGGAGTGGTTCTTTGGGGAAGGTGACTTCCTTTTCTCTGTATATCCTTTTGTACCATTTGATTTTGTCTAGACAATAAAAATGTATTTTCTTTTTCAAATAAACTCAGTTAATGAAAAAATAAAATACACTAAATTTAAAATTAAAACCTATCCAGATAAAATGAAATGCTACTATCAGTGATCTGCTACCTTTTTTTCCCTATAATGCACGCAAGACAACTCTCTCAAACACAATTCCAAAAAAGGCAAAAAAACCAAAAACCGCTAAGTCCCGAATTATATGCAATTCTAGATGCAACAGCTGTAATTCTAGCTCTTTTCTTTCAGTTAACGAAGGACTATCAGAAGGACAGTAATTAGGGAAGTTATTACAAAAATTATACTGAATCAAGGCAATTTTCATCATTTAACATCACTACTGAAAACCAATCATCTAGAATAGAGGTTGGCAAACTTTTTCTGTAAAGGTCCAGGTAGGAAATATGGTTGCTGTTGCAACTACTCAATTCTGTGATGTAGCTAAAGCAGCCACAGACAATATGTAAATGCACAAGTATGGCTGTGTCCCAATAAAACTTTACTTACAAAACAGGGAGTGGGTGGGGAGTTTGCCAACTCACTGTAATACAGAGGTAGCCTAATATCTAAAAACTGGTATCATCTAAAGACTTTTATGTTTATTTCACTATACAATGCTATTGAATGTCCTTTTCTTTGTCAAACCATATAAATGAACAACTATGACCAATATATTTTAGCTGCAATATAATTAAGAAGTGAAGCTACTTTAAAGCTGATTTATATAAAAGACACAGGGTAAGAATTCTGAACCTATTACCAAGTATTAGAAGAAAAGTTCCTAAGTATTAAAAAAAAAAAAAAAAGGCAAAGAAAACGTTCTTTATGAATACTAACTTGGGCAGGAGAACCAAGTTCTCTCTTTGTATCACATGTTACATAGAACTATTGAAACTTTTCCTATCATACTCATTCTTTCAAATATCTAAAGAAGCACAGTAGATTCTGAGTAGTAAAACAGAAAAATATTTAAGACAAAACAACCTATCATGATGGGTTTGCCTTATCTTTAGCAAAACATACTATTTATATTAATACTCTCCACTTAAGAGATAAGTTTTAATAGTAGGAGAATAAAAGATGTGTCCAGACTGGCAATCTATTTCAAGAGCCATAAAAATATGCATAATTTTACGCAGGTCACCTTTCCTCAGACATTTAAGAAATAATGTAACAGATTAAATAACTTACAAGAACATTCATTATCTTTAGCATTATTTATGAGAGAAAACTTAGAAGTCAGAATGTCCAACAGAGAAATATTTAAGTAAATTATTATAAATCAAGTATATTAACAAAATATGCTTATTTTACTGCAGTCAAAAAACATGTAACAAAATTTATAATCTTATTTTTAAGTGTGCAGTACAGTATTAACTTTATGCACACTGTTGTGAACAGAACTCTAGAACTTTTCATCTTGTAAAACTGAAACTTTATACCCACTGATCAACAATTCCTCCTTCCTCTCCTCCTCCTAACCATGGCAACCACCATTCTATTTTCAGTTTCTAAAAGTTTGACACTTTAGAAAGATCATGTAAATAGAGTCAATGTAGTATTTACCTTTTGTGAATGTCTTATTTCATTTAGTCCTCAAGGTTCTTGTTGTAGCATATACTGAGATTTCCTTTTTTTTTTTTTTAACTTTTTTTTTTTTAACGTTTATTTATTTTTGGGACAGAGAGAGACAGAGCATGAACGGGGGAGGGGCAGAGAGAGAGGGAGACACAGAATCGGAAACAGGCTCCAGGCTCTGAGCCATCAGCCCAGAGCCTGACGCGGGGCTCGAACTCACGGACCGCGAGATCGCGACCTGGCTGAACTCGGACGCTTAACCGACTGTGCCACCCAGGCGCCCCAAGAGATTTCCTTTTTTAAGATTGATAATACTCCACTGTATGCAAAGATATTTTCTTTTTTTTTTTTTTTTAAAGGTTTATTTATTCTCAGAGAGATAAGCACATGCTTGTGCACAGGGGAGGGGTAGAGAGGAGAGGGAGAATCCCAAGCAGGCTCCACGTTGTTAGCGCTGAGCCCTACGCGGGGCTCAATCCCATGAACCCGTAAGATTATGACCTGAGCTGAAACTAAGAGTTGGATGCTCAACTGATGAGGCACCCAGGCGCCCCTGTAAATTGTTTTCTGTCTTGTGTTATTTTGTGCACACACACACACACAAAAGTGGAATTGCTGGATCATATGGTATTTCTATTTTTAATCTCTTGAGGAATCTCCATACTGCTTTTCACAGCTGTGGCACCATTTTACAGTCTCATCAATAGCGTATAAGGGCTCCCTTTCCTTTGCATCCATGAGAACGCTTATTGTTTTCACAGTGGCCATCCTAATCATTGTGGCTTTGATTTATAATTTCCTGATGTTTAGTGATGACCATTTTTTTCATATGTTTTTTGGCCACTAGTATGTCTACTTTAAGAAATGTCTATTTTTCAGTTGGATTTTTGTTGTTGCTGAGTTTTATGAGTTCCGATACTTTGGATCAGATAGTTTGCAACTCTTCTTACTCCACAGTGTGCCTTTTCACTGTTCATTATTTCCTTTGCTGAGCAGAGGCTCTTTAGTTTTAGTTTGATGTAGTCCCACTAGTTTATTTTTGCTTGTATTGCCTATGCTTTTCTTTCTCAAGACTGTTTTGATTATTGGTTTGAATAATCAAAACAGTCTTGGGTCCTTCCAGATTCCATATGAATTTTAGAATTTTTTTCCTATTTCTGCAAAAATTGCCACTGAAAATTTGATAGGGAATGTACTGTATCTGTTGACTGCTTTGGGTAAAACTGGGTATTTTAACAATATTAAGTCTTCTAATCCATGAACATGAAATGTCTATTTATGTCTTCTTCAATTTCTTCCAGCAATGTTTTATAGTTTTCATTGTACAAATCTTTTACCTCCTTCATTAAGTTTATTCCTGAATTTTATTCTTTCTGAAGCTATTGTAAATGACTTTTTTTAAACACACTCTTTGGATTTTTTATGGTTAGTCCATAGAACCATAACTTTTTGTGTTGATTTTGTATCCTGCAAATTTGCTGAATTAGTTCTAACAGAGTTGTGTGTGTGTGGAGTCTATTTAGAGTTTATGACATATAAGATCATATCTATATAGAGTTAATTTTACTTCTTCCTTTCTTATTTGGCTGCCCTTTATTTCTTTTACTTGCCTGAATTCTCTGGCTAGGACTTCTAATTCTTTCTTGCACAGAAGTGGCAAGAATAGGGGTCCATGCCTTGTTCCTAATCTTACAGGAAAAGCTTTTGGTTTTTCACCATGGATTATGTTAGCTGTGGGCTCTTCCTATATGGACTTTATTATGTTCATAAATTTCCTTCTATCCCTAGTTGGTTGTTTTTATCATGAAAGGGTATTGAATTTTGTCAGGTGCTTTTTCTGCCATCAACTGAGATGATCATGTGGTTTCTGTCCTTCATCCTGTTAATGTAGTGTATCACACGAACTGATTTTTGCTACCAATCATCCTTGTATTAAGTAGATCTCACTTGGTCATGATGTAGAATCCCTTTAATATGTT